CATCTAATAATAATTCGCGCTATACTTTAAATTAACCAAACGTATTTCAGAGAATTATTTAAATAATTAGAAAAGCTTATCTGAAATACCCCAAATGAAGATCAAAGGAAAATATAAAATGTGTGCTTGCTAATATTGAATGAACATAATCTTTTAGATTTACGAACATTTTTTTAAATCAATAAATATTTTATTGTACTTGAGAATGTTAATGCTAAATGGCATTAATGAAAAACTTTTAATTTCCCCTTAAATCTTAACAATTGAGGACAACAAAACCTGTTAAGTTGGTTTCAATATACTAGTGAATTACTTTCAGCAGATGACATCAAATTATTATAAAGATTCTTTTTAAAGACTAACATTTTCCACTTTTTGTTATTGCCTGTTCTACATACCTGGGAAGTACATAATAAAATTCACAAGTTCTCTGGTATTTAAAATATTTAAGTAACATGACACCTACCTAAACGGGATTTTTTAGGGCATTCTGGAACAGACATACGCATTTTATTATTTTCTCAGATTTTTAATGCGATTCACAAAAGTACAGTGGAAAAGCTAGTAAATTCTTGTCATCTCTTGTAAAATCCTTCTGTGAAATTTGCATATCCAGAACATTCAGCATTAGTTAAAATACAAGATATTTTTGTGTTCCGAATGCTAAATTCTCCGTGGAAAACATTGAAAACGTACCCAGACATATGATGGCGATTTCAATAGATTAGATTGCAATGAATATTGATGAGTTGCTATTGTATGGTCCGAAGGTTATTTTACTCTAATATTAAATTGATGTTTTCTCTCCACGCAGACTTCAGTTTTAACGTATATTCAATTTGAAACGTCTAAATACACTACATTGAGTATCCAATTAGCATAAATTTTATATTTTCAGAAAATTACACAATTAAAATAAAATCTTCATTCTTTAAAGAACGCAGACTTTCAATAAAACGAAGTCACAAAAGTTTAAGCAACATTAAAATGACTATTTGCAGATCGAGACACTGCAAGTAATATTGCAATTTAATTGCCACTCTTTTTTTATTATTCACTTCGAAAAATTATTAATCTTGTTTAACTATTCTAAGCGGCTGAAAACATAAAATATTAACAAAAAAAAAATGCAATCTCTACATTATTATTTGAAGTCATTTATCAATTTAAAACTATAATGTTATGAAATAACTCGCGACTACGTTTCATTTGATGTTCTTTTTAAGTACTTATAAATACCAATAAATGATATCTGAAAGTTTGATAGATTAATTTCTGCTTTTTTTACTGGCAGATAAATGCTTGTACAATGCTAGCACTTATATAATTCAAATATCTTGAAGTACCTAAAAGAAAAGGTAATAATTCTGAATATTTAATGCAGTTTTTGGGTCCGATTTTAAATCACTAACGAAGAGGTTTATATGTTCTGTACCATTTAACAAGGATCTACTTTGGTTTGACCTCAACAGATACATTGCTATTATTGTTATTACAGCAACAACATCATCATCATTTGCAACAATTCCAAGGGCCTTTATTTTTTTATTTTACAATGTGAAACAGTATTCCACACAACTTGAGAGTATTAAAATTTCAATATTCAAAAATACCTGTACTCGTTTGAATGCATCTCGTTGCAGGGGTAGTGTTACACTAATTCGATTTATAAGCCTATTTTTCAACAATATAACCACACATATAACAAACAACATACAATGTGAATATGATAAATTACAACCACAAATCGACTGCCATTAAAGTTTTTGGAATTTTCTTTTTTTTTACTGTTCACTACAACAACTGCAACAAATATTTTCGGTTGTTTGGACATTAAAAAACCAATATTGAAGAAAGAATTTTGGTTTTATACTTCTTAAATGTGCGGTTTTTCATCATTAAAATATATAGTCATATGTAGTGCAGATCTCACCCCAAAAGATCTAAGATCGGTTCAGAAATTACACATCACCCTTAATCTGTAAATCTTGTTTTTTCTTATATCTTCCGGGATTCCTAAAAGCATCTTGATGAACTAAGTAACGACATAAGGAGAAGGCGAAAGTTATTTTACTGAAACTTTTTTTTGTACAAAAATTTTAAGCTTCAGAATCAGCTGAAAGTGCTTAGTTTTTCTTCCATGTTTTAACTGTTACACCCACTTTATAGATAACTATCCGTAGTCTCCACATGTAGGTCAGATCGTAGCAACCTCATTTGTTCTGGCATCTTTAGCAATAGACTGTATATAGATCTTCTTGAGTTATATTGCGCTCCAACTGACGTTCACTGCAAGAAACCTCAACATGTCCGAGGAAATTTCGGTATCTGATCTCTTATGATGGAACGTTGACAGCAATCTTTGTAAGCATGATCTTTACTAACGTGATACACTATTGTATGACAAAGTAAATATTTATAATTTTTTTTCTTTTCAGCATCTACCTGCCACCCCTTAATAAAAGTAAAAGATACCCACCAGTCTTCTGTACAATATATGAAAACATTGATAAAATCCTAAAATCGTAACTCACTAAAAATATCCGGTAATTACGAAAATGAATTACCCGTGGGCACAGGTATTGTATTTGTCAAGATATCATTCGTTTTCATACGTGTCGGCATTTCACAAGTCAAACAGTGTTTCTATTGTCTCGTCGAAGATGTAACACTTATCTTATGGTTTCTTTACCATATCTATCTGCAGTTCTCGACGGACACTTAATAACTGTTCCTATTGTAACATGTTCAACAGCCGAAGATTGAGAATTGAGTGTTCCTACAAGGAACAACACTGAATAAGACATTCAAGATAAAAAAGATTTTTACTCGAAGAATTCTTATTTTGATTCTCGTTGAAATGTGTATCTTATTAAGCTAAACCTTATTTAGTAACTAAGTGTTTTAATAATTTCAAGACGTACGATTTTGCAGTATTGTATCGATCGCGTGTAATTTTGACGATTTGTGTTTAGTATATTTAATGAAAACGAATCGATTAGAAAAATACTTAAAAGTAGTCAAAGGAATTCGTAAGTTATCTTTCAAAATCTACAAGGAATTGATGTGGAAATATTTTACTCAAAAAGTAAATTATGCTTTAGACGAAGAATTGTGTCAGAATGACCCTTAGAGGCGTTTAAGACGCCATGTTCTCTTTTACTAAAATATCTAAAATCTCTTAGGCACCATCTCATAAAATCATACATAACGCTTTCTCTATCGATCAAAAAAGTCATAAAAATTGTAGCAATGTTGACCCTGACAGTATTTTCCCATAAACATATAAACCGCTGCACCACCAACAACAATAATATTATTAATAATAATAATTTTCATGTAATCTATAGAATCCAACGACATAATAAACACCAACTCGACAAAAGCAGTGAGAAATCTCATATCATCTATCCATAATAACAGATTAAACCCATTTTTAACTCTCAAAAAACAACTCAAATAAGGTTGCTAACAACGATGGAGGAAAATGATCAAATAATCAATAAAGTATGTCTTCATGTTCCTTGACGTTGTTGGACAATAGGCTTGTAATAACATAATTCAATTATATAACCATTCATTGGTTATATAAGTACACTATCATGTTTTCATTTATCTTATTTTCAGTCACTACTATAATAAAACACAAAAACAAAAACTACACATATTCAAAAAGAAAATAAAAATAGTATATGATATGAACTGTAAAAAGACTACATATATAAAAGCATAAGATTAGTCTAATACGAATAAAATTTAATTCAGTTTAGAAACAACCATGTTAAATATATTTAGTAATAGAAAATACTCGAAATTGAGATGGTATGTAAAGATGGCTTGCTTGAAACAGCATATGGCACACACTGACGAGTGAAGCTGTAATACTCAAAAAACACAAAAGAAAGACTAAGCTTCCCTATATAATATCCGCAATCAACTCAAAAATGATTTCATAATGTCTTGTTGAAGCTGAAGGTGATCAGGCTATATTAGAAAATTCATGTTCAAAATACATCTTGAAACCAGAAAATTTGTCCAAAACCAAGAATAATATTAAAATATTTTATCAAAACTCATTCAACCAATATGAATTAAAATATTATATATATATATATATATATATATATATATATATATATATATATATATATATATATATATATATGATTGATGTGTGTTTGCGACCCTGGGTTTCACGCTTTACGATCGTTCGACAAACTGTTTGACGATCGCAAAAGCGTGAAACCCAGGTCACAAACTTACACCAATCCAACCAAATATGTTAGCTCTATCTCTGATATTAAGCGCTTTCTAGTAAGTTCCGCACATATAATATATAAATAAAAAAATATATTACACACACACACACACACACACACACACATATATATATATATATATATATATATATATATATATATATATATATATATATATAATAAAGAAATATAGTCTAAAAGGTGTGATATATTTATGGAATAAAGTTCTCAATATCAGAGATAGAGCGTGTGTAAATATAAAAGTGAACATAGAAGTCAACACTTAGAGGAGACAGTCTGTTTCATGCTATATGCAATCGTCAGGCCACCTGATATATATATATATATATATATATATATATATATATATATATATATATATAAGTAATCCTAAGGATTATGTTTTCCGAGGTTTCACCTAAACGGATATTCAGGGTAGTGTGTTTTTTTGTATAAACAAGTTATATTATTGTGTCTATTACTGCTAAGTGAACGCACACAAAACTGATTGATCCTAAATCTTCTACAATTATAAAACTAACTGCATCACCTTTTTCGGTCCCATTTCTACTATTGACCTTCTTGAAAAACTGCTGTTGCCACGTTGGACGTCGAAGGTTTGATAATGCAAAAGTTTTATATAAGCATCCTTCACATACACTCCTAATATTCTAATTCCTAAGAATTCTGCAAACTATATTCCATCCTGGATGATGGGTACCTTTTTATGATTATTACTGCTTACGGGCATATCACGTTGAAACGCTGATCTCCGTACGATCAAAAAAGTTAAGCATCATAGTGCCTGATCAGTACCTAGATGGGTGAGCGCTTGGGAATACCAGGTGCTTTAATCTTGGATGTGCGGATGGTATAACGGTTAATGTCTCGGATTTGTTAATCGGAGATACGGCTGAGTTTGTTATATTCACTTACGCTCAAATATCATTGGGAAATGTATGAATCCACATTTACTCCCCCATCTATGGGATAATTAGTAAGACTTATATCGCTAAATCATCATTATCTCCCAAAACTTCTTACAAAAATAATTTGTGGCTTTAAATAACCTGTAAAAGGTTGACAATAATAGAGAACGAAGCAATCAATCAAATCATTCTTATTACTGTAAAATATCCATACAATCTGATGGCAGGGCACTTGAGTCTCCCCTCCGTAAGAGACTATGCTATTACTACATGAATCAGATTGAAAAGAAATTTTGAATATGTTTAGCCAAATCAATGACATAATTTCGCTACATCGATAGCATAGCATATCCATATTAACGAAAAAAAAAACACATATTAAATTTAAAAAGAAAAACTTCAAATCTTCGACGAAAAATCCTGTTCTTTCATTATGCAGTTAATATTTGTCCTGTCTTCTCATAGATATTAAAACTCTATTTTAAACCAACGAATAAACTGAACAAAAGCAATTTATTATTTCGAGATAATATATCATAGATAATTGAGCAACATAACGCAAACACTTGCCAGCATTTTCGCTATACATATTCTCGAGGAAGAAATAAAATTAACTTTGAATAATTTTAGAAAAAAACTTATACAAACAGCCATCGTGATATGTGACTCCCATCAACGAAGTGGCGTTTGTTTATCTTAAATTGCTTTGGTAACTTCCACTAATAATAAATGCTGTTACGGCCTCCAGCACACTTATGATAGTCTCGATGTTAAGGTTGAATAAATCTAAAATATACATATTTTCTTAAGCCACTTTCGGTTTGTGTGTACCTATTAAGTTTACTTTAGCTACAAGAGCAAACGGAGCTGAGATAGGTGACTGCTCAGCATTCGTTTCAGTGATGACATTGAAAGCATAGCCTATATAGGGGAATTATTTTCCAAGCAGTTAAACCTGATTGAATATTTGATGCAATATAGTCTCCTGTTAAGTTCTTTTCTTTGTCTTTCGTCAGACTGTGTAAATCTGAATTAATAATCATTAAAAGTTAAATCCGTGATTGCGTAATAGACATTTTCCAATTTATGGACTCTGTATTTTTTCTGTTTTTTAATAAGATTTATTTATTCATTCCTTCTGCTATGAAATTTGTCTTTGTTCCAAGGAATACACGTGCACGCACATCAGACCATATATAAGAAATGTACTGTTTATTCTTTAGTTTACGATAAGGTATTTTGAAAGGTCAACATTCAAAAGATGAAGTGTAATAAACACAATATTCTGGATATTTTTGCTTTGCCCTTCAGGAATCTTCAATCTTACACAATTGATCGTTAAAGTTCGCAGAATCACACATACACTTTAATTGACTCAAGTAGGTCATAACGTGTTTCAAAGAAATATATTCTGTTAATAAGATCGAGAACTTTTATCTTCTGCCTTATAAACGTTATCTAAGAAGATGAAAAATATAAGTTACATCCATATAATCATATAAGAAAAATAAGGAGAAAGTTCATCTCTCCTGATTCGGAACGGATTGTTTCCACAGTACATTAAATCTTAGCAATATCTTCATACATTGCAGTAAATGCTTATTAATATCGCAAAGTATCAAACATAATTTTATGACAGAAGCATTCATTTTAAATTTTGATGTTTAATTTATTGACATTTTTAAGCTTCGTATATTTGTTGAAATGGCCAGAAATGAAGATAGGAACATTCTGTATTCGACTTCATGAATTAGTAAGAAGACTGAATAACAGTGCAATGGTAATTAGTTACCCAAACCATGAAACACATGGAATCGTTAATTTTTAGATAGGAATCATTCAACAGAAGGATATATATAAGAATCGTTCAACAGAAGGATATATATATATATATATATATATATATATATATATATATATATATATATACTATATAAAAATAAATATAACGATTATCGAATCTAAGGACTTTACTTTGCTAGATTAGATAATCGTTATATTTATTTTTTATATGTTTATAATTGATTTGTAACCTGTAGTCGATATTAATTTTTTCAAATTTTCTTAATTACACAGCGGCCTTTTTTATAAATGCCCTTCAGTTTTAGTTCCCCCCCGCACCATCTCTCTCCCCCACCCATTTTTCTTTTCTTTTCTTTTCTAACAACATGTTTCCGAAACATTCATTTTCTTGCCAACGCGTTTATGTCTTTTGCCATAAGCGTTAAGAATCTTCACAATTTAAAGATCACAGTAATAAAATGTACTTTTCCTGGATTTTAAGGGAGAAAGCTGTGACACATTTAAAGGGAGCTTTGAGAATTATCGTTACCCAACTTTAACCCCAGATAAATTTTCTAACGAAAAAACAACCTTTTCGAGATTTTTTCGAACTCTTCAGTGTTAGAATTACATAAAACCATAATATATATATATATATATATATATATATATATATATATATATATATATATATATATATATATATATAAAAGTGAACATAGAATTCAACACTTAGAGGCGGTAGTCTGTTTCATGCTATATGCAATCGTCAGGTCACGTATAATATATATATATATATATATATATATATATATATATATATATATATGTGAGGTGTGTGTGAGAGTGAGAGAGTTAAAGATCAAATGTGGATGGGAATCTGACAGGATGATGAAATAAAGAACAAAGAAGAAACGTATATCAATCGAACATGCTTCATTTTTATTAAAGCTTTGTCAGAGGTTGAGATTAAACAGACAAAATAACAGAAAAAACACTGGTATTTTCAATTACGTTTGTGTCAGTACTCATTGCTCCTACCAGTGTTACCTACGGTCTTAATAAATTTGGCACGTAAAACTTGATCTGATTATATTAAATAACCTATGTATATAGTGTAGTAAATATACGTATCTCTCTCTCTCTCTCTCTCTCTCTCTCTCTCTCTCTCTCTCTCTCGGTACCTCCAAATATTATCTAAAACATCATATGACGAAAAACGGTGCCAGCTTGATTAAAAGATAGTTCTATCGTCAAAATTTTGTTATTAAGATAAAAGTCCAAATGATTTTTTTTATTATTTTATTTAATGTTTTAATCCTTTCTAGCTCGTTCAAAATTTCGTTAGATATCGTTTTTTCTTGCAACAGTGAGTGAACCAGTGATTAGTATAGGGATTTTTAGCATCTTTTTTCTCCTAAAAAATATTCTTTTGGAAATTCTTTCAAAAATGTCAGATTTCAATAAAAAAATTCCAGGACTTACTCACAAATTAATTAAATTATTTTTGATATCTTGTTTTAATCTTGGTGATTTTTTTTTTTTACATCTGCTATCATCACTTATATAGCTTTATGAAATTTCGAGAAAGTAAAATATCAGTATCTTCATATTTATATTAGTTAAATTCAGGACTTCTTGGATAATTATATTATTGACACTATTTTCTTTACAAACATTTCGACCAACAATTAATTTTTATAAGAATTATTTTCATTTGTTTTCAATTTAATTAGAAAAAATATTAAATTTTAAATCTTTTAAAATTCTGTCATAGTTTCGGCCTTTTAGTTAATATTATTAAATAAATGGAAAAGATTAATACGAATAATCAAACACCAACACTTTTAAAAAGAATTTTGAATTTTTTCCAAGTGTATAAACGTGACCATTTTTAATATAAGACATTATTCGAAAACAGGAGCGATAACACAGAGCGATGATAAATTTAAATTCACATTTCTAAACTTAAATAAAAAAATTAGATTGCAGGGAATATTTTCCTATTTTATTAAAGATTACTGTTTCTATAAACATTATATAAAAAAAGGTTGTCACGTCAATGTGTTAAATTCTGTTTTATACATAGTCTCCGTGGAACATTAGACTTGTCATCAATGTGTCATATGTCGAAATAGCTACTGTCAGGTTAAAAAAAAAATACAAGCGACTGTCAGATTTAAAAATGTATCACTGCAATATTTTAAACCTGAAATAAATATTTGTTTCAAATCAGATTAATTATACTTTAACTAACCTGATATTCTTAAAGTAATGTTTAGTTTTGGAATGTGACGTTCTAATCTTTTGCTGATTCGGATGGGAATCTGGTTAGATTCGGTATCAGCCTTGTCGTTCCCAGCTCGCCTCTATCGCCTGGTTACCGAAGTAACTGTTTTGATTTCTAGTCTAACCTACCCACGTTGTGATTTGATCTTAGGTAGACGAAATCAATCAGTCGCCGTGCTGTAATGCAAGTCGAGTCCGAACAAGAAAATAAAATAAAGTAATAACTCGAAAAGTTCAAATGTGTTAAAAAAGGATAACAATATTTTATATCTGGTTGCTGAATACAGGACTGCGTCTTCTTCCTAACCCGCTATATGGATTCGTGACACTTTGTGTTTGTTAAGCGAGTCTTAACATCTTGCTTGTTGTTATTTAAGAAACTGGTTCTTGGTGTGAATCTAAGTCGTTCTTCAAAAATAAATTGTTCTTGGTTAGAACTTGAGGTCGTGATTTGCGTGGAATCTTTCAAGTCAGCAATCTGCGAGACGGGTCTTCAGAGCTCTCAGCTCACTGCAACTGTTTGCCTGTTTGTCTCCAACCCAAACTGCGAATCTAACTGAACTGGAACTCAACTGGAACGTTTTTTTCACTCGCTGCGACTCTGCTTATATGGACGCCGACCAAAACCGGGGTGGGCTTGTCGGGGTTTGAGGTTCCTTGATAATTCTAAATCCACAATCCACTTCTTTGTTTTCGGTCTGGAAAATTTATTATTTTCCATATTTGGAAGTCTTTTGTCCTCACACCTACTTCTGTTCTCATATTGGTATCTCACGCATACCTTCAGAGGGGGTCAACGGGTTTCCCCTCTCTCTCACAGTGGCTTCTCATACCGATCCCTTCGGGGGGG